TTACAAACATACATGAGACTATATTTTCTTATCTCTATTCCTTAACTATGTGAACAGCAACATAATTTGTGATAAGTCTCCACAGTGAATTCCTCACAACAAACACCAACGTCACAAGCTGCTACTTGCAATCAGTGTCACTACACCACACTACACTAACTACACTATGCCACTAACTAACTGAACACAATGCGATTACCGACTACTGTGATATTACAGCAAAATCAATCAATCAAACATCCATTCGAAGAGGAGTGATCTCTGGTCTCTGCCGATTCATCCATCTCTCATATAGCAGCTTCTCTCATTTCTCCTTTCACAGATAGCTTTGCTCTACTGACAGTCCACAAGAATTTCAAGCTGATCCCAGGATATCCTTATTGTCGTGATATGGAATCATGATCAGTGACATAGTGGCTACACACCTCTTATATGAATCTCCTACTCAACCCTCACATCATTCCACATCCCCTGCCTTGTTTCACTGACTCATCCTCCTCTCTATTCTAGACCAATCCACTTCGACTCTCCGTCACAAATGTCTACATCTATCTCGTGATGTGGTTGACTTCACACTCACATACTGCATATCAAGTAAAGCAACAAACAGTCTTGTGGTATCAATGACTTTCCAGATAACCAGGTAGTGTGAGGCTTTTTCTTGGCGTCACCATTTTCACAGGCATCAGTCAGTCAGTCACTCAGTCAGACAGTCGTCTGCATCAACAGCACACCACGTATTCCTATCTAACTGTTGAAGTTGACACACCACACCACACCACACCACTACCGACAGCAAACACATTCAGGTAAGATAATATGAGAGGAAATTGTTCAAGAGCTATTGGAAGTTGTGAAAAGATAACAAGCAGTCGCCAAATGGTAATCAAATCCCGTAGAGCCAGTAAGAAGCAGATAATTTGAGGACTAATCTGATCCACTGAGATCCATTATGAACCAGGTCACCTATACTCTGCAACAACCGACTTCTTTCGACATATTCACCTACATAGACAAACCTACATTCCACAACACAGCTCACATCATCATTCACAGACTTCGTGCACTCACACCATGTTCCATCCGGCCACAAACAACTTCCTTCAACCTAAACCTACTTCAGTCAACACACTGTGATCAGGCAGATCGTCAATACACATGCACAACACATATCTCAGTGGTATTAGTCGATCAGTGTGCACAACTCCATCCATTGACATCCCTCTCCTACTCACAACTATACATCTAACTTCAGTGTACATCAAATGGTCCTTCAATATTGCATGGCCGACGCTACGAAGACAGTCGTGGTTCAAAACCACTGTACATCCTCAAGTCAGTCGAGTCGGCAACAGCAAATTTATCCAAACAATATTGAAATAGCATCATGCTGTTTAGGGATGTTGAACGGAGTAGCAAAATATCATCCACTATACCAAATTACAGTCAGTAGCCTCCAGTTGAAGGAATCCATTCGTAGCAAATCTAAACTACCATCATTTCTCATAGACATCAATCTACCAAACAACACTATTTCCAAAAGTCTCATCACAAGTCTTCATATCCCACTGCAGCTAATCATCAGCCTCCATTTATTATTTCCCCACCAACTCTTACTCTCACAAACTTGATCAACGAATACACAACCCATCACCATTAACTTGGATCACCTCAATCACCAATGCAATTGTCGCCTCTCACCAGCTGATCAGCATTATTTTACAAATGAATACTCTGACACTTCTCGCTGATAGCATTACTTTGCTGGATATCGACTTTACACTCAGTCGTTTCCACAATTAGTATAGCCACAGTATCAACTGTCGTTATTTCCAGTTACACTTAAACACCTCCTCTTTCATCGACAGCACACTACTAAGACAAGATGACTACCAATCGAAGTTCACGGAATTCTAATTCTATCACAACTCAATTGAAAACTCAAATTAGTCGCCTTTGGCTAACCACTATATTTATTTCGAATTATAACAAATCAAAGATAAGCAACAGACAGACCGAGATGATATGACTGCATTTCAACAATTCCTTTCAGCTGCTCACATCCTACAACAATTATGCATCAAGCATAACACGACACATTCACACACCACATTCAATTTCACAGCAAACACTTCAAATGACACGAAAGCGAACAGACATTAATTAACCTTGTCAAGTCGAAAAAGACTGACCGAAGGCACTCAACTGTCTGTCTGGTGCTACGCTTATGTCTTTGAACAATCAATCGATGGACATTCTGCAAACATAGGAGAACACAGAGACTATCACAGTGAATGTTCCCATTCAGATTCAAGAACTCCTATAGACAAACCACTCAGGATAATCATGTCCAATTAAACAACTAGTAGATATACAGTCATGAATCACATATTGCTCAACCTCAATAAAATGAGGAATACGAATATCTAGACCACTGCCAACCAAACCACAACATTTCGACCACCCGTCATAATCAGCACTACAAGTAACAAGCAAGACTGGCTTTCTGTAACTCACTATTTCGAACACATTTCAAAATATCTATTGTGTCCAGTCACGGCTCAATATGTCTGCTGAAGATTCAACTACCCACAGTGAATTCAATTACGTCCTCCACTCACTAACCACTACCATCACCATTACTTCTTAAGGTCGACATTCTTCAGATGTGACCTAGTGAATACAACGCTCTGATGGAACACAACTATCTTTGAGCATCGATTACAAGTCAATCTATACAGTTTACAAGTAGATGGTTGACTATCGCAGTTGTAAACTGCACGTGCTAGTCTCTGTATTCATCTTCAAAAAGGCAGATTCAACAGTAACACTTCCTCCCTTCTCCACTTTACCCACTCACATTCTCAACTCGGGTTGAACAGTCACATCATAATGTTCATCTTATCCCTTCACTGTTGTTTTATGTGTAGGAGGACTAAGATTAGAGCACAGAATACAATGTGTAACCAGATACATCATATTTCCTCATTCAGTCTGACATCAATTTGCTATGCAGTTTCCATTATCACTAGCGCATATCTATTTCTGGAACTTCAGACACCTTTCCAACTCTTGACATGAATTCACATTTTTCACCATAAATCAATCTTATCTTCTCAAATTTACTAAATAACATCACAACCAACCCACAGCAGGCTAACAACACAAAGTGACAATATACTCCATACTCCTAAACACACCATACTGTGTATGAATATGAATAATGACAGAATTCGAAAAGAGGAATGATGTCCCACTAGAATTTTATCAAAATCAACATACATACTCCCGTTCACCAAACACACACGATAGTCTACCAAACAAGACAGAAACGTGTCTTTTGACTGAAAGTGACATCTGTTTGCGTTGAAATTTACACCTGGTCAATTAATGAATAACTCTACTCCAGTATCCCCTACTCCCGTCCCACTCGACTACGCAAGATGGACAACCAATAATTTGATTTCAATATCAATAAAGTGAAATTCAACTTCACTGGTTGCAGTTGTACCATTATAAGTACTCAGTTCCAACACTGAAAATTAAAACAATGGTTACTACAACGATTCACCTCATCAAGTATGTGATCTATAATACGATAATAATCAAATTTCATCCGACTTCTTCATCACGGAATTAAATATTCATGCTGCATTGCATTGTACGCTGATTTGCACGGTACACACCATCTACACAACGACTGTACACTTTTCAAACCACAAGACGCTTATTTGAAATACAGTGGAAGGTAATTTGCAACTCAAGTCCAGTACTGGTGCAACACAACTCACCTTCTTACGTAACATTCGGGGATCCTCAGAAGTACCTTATCTCTCACTAAGAAACTAGGTATGACTCAACCTTAGTGGCTTGACGTACACCCGTGATGCAAGTTCACCTTCATGCATATCACAACATCTCTACACACTTCAATTCACTTCCTTCATACGGCGCGACGCATAGTGTAACCGTATCATTCGCTGGATGATGACCACACATGGGAGAAATTATGGATTGCAGAATCATTCCATCCAGCAGCAGCATCCAGTTTATTCATCACGTTTTCAACTAACCTAAAACACAGTCCCTACATACCGCAATCACTTTTTCAAGCCGAGATTATTTCAAACAGTTTAAGCAGAGGGTTACAAATCAGATGTAAAATAACCTACTGCTTGAAACATTAACAAAAACTGCAGTGTCCCAGCAGAAACACATAAGCAGATTCTCACTCCACTCACAAGTAGCACACACATCATCCATCTACAAACACAATGGGTTGTTGATGATAAACACGCAGTTCATGGTCTACACGATCGGTATAATGCAATAAATTACTCTAGACTTCAAAATTCAGCAGCCAAATGAACCAACCAACCAACCAACTAAGAACCTATAGGTCAACAAATATGCAAAAGGAAATGAAGATGGATTGGGCATGCACTGAGAAGACCCTTCAGGGACATCACGCACTAGGCAATCGAGTGCAACCTAGATGGGAAACGGCGAGTTCGGTGTCCGAGGTGAGGGTGACATGGAGGAGATCGTGTGAGGAATAAGTGAGAGCTCGTGGGCAGTCGTAGAGCCAGGTTCAAAAGACTGCAGAGAACAGAGTGGAATGAAGACGTGCTACTGAAGCCCTATGTTCCACTAGGAACCCAAGGATAAATAACAATAATAATAATAATAACAAAAATGATCTCATCTTGACTTAGGACAATCAACAGCTCGTCGATTTTAAATCCTATCCTGCTCGTGCACAGTTGCCTATATATACCTAACATCTATGATTAACAAAGCATCCACCTGACATACTTCAGTCTCACAGAACTCTATCACACTCCACTCATCACTCATTTATAAAGTCAAGTCAAGTAGTCGACTCATCGATTCATTATGCATAAGTAACACACACACACACACCTTGGCATATTCACCACACATGCATTCACTACCACCACCACCACCCACCTGTATTCTCACCAAAATACTTAGACAACAAATAATATAAAAACAACAGATTTATGAAAGACGCGGATATACATATGTATCACAAAGGAGAACAAACTGTATAGATTAGATAAAAACCTATATGCACTAGGATGCATAGTCGATCACAGGAAGTATCATAAAACATTACAAAAAATGAAAATATTGGATTGTTTGCCAAAACAAAAGACAGCAAAAGCAACTGAGTGAATCACATGGCGAATGATCAAATATATTCCTAATTAAAAGAATAGAACAATAATGAGAAGTTTGCTTCCAAACACTATCAACTCATTTGCCCTTTTCATTGTCATCACCAACACCAACACCACCACCACCACCACCACTTGCATCTTTAGCTAGCTTACGGATGGATTTTCAAAAACCGAACCGATAAGACCATGAGCAGTGCTCAATAAATTCACTGGTGTCGTACCATCGGTAATCAATGTACTCTGTAGACCTAAAGCGCTCAGCATGCGCAAATTATGGTCTGATTCCGCAGTTGCCATCGCACGTAGGGTATCTGTGCCTATCGCATTGATCATCGTAACAAAACGTGACTTCTCAATTTCCATCTCATCAGCCTTATACTTCAAAGCCACCTCATTCTTTTCCTTCATATAAGCGATTTCAGCAGCTCGAGCTAGCTTCAGCCTTTCTAACTCTGCATTCTGAAAACAAGAAATAAGTGGAAATCAGAAAGTTTATCATCAATACGGTAGGTAATACAATCCAGTACACTGCAGTGCAGTGTAGTGTAGTGCATGAAAACACTTCAATTGTCTTTTATGCAAAATATCAAGTCTACTGAGTAAATACTTCTATCAACCAATCGCAAAAATGGTCTCCTTGCATTTAACATATCGTCCAACTGCTCCCAACTTCATTCACACCTACATCAACTCATCATCAAAATGAGTGCAAATCCGATAAGACAAGATGGGTCAGAAACGCCTATTGTGTCATGGGTACACAGACAGCTTGCACTTACTTCTTAAACAACAAAACTACCATCCCACCTTCTTCTACTCATCATCCTGTCTACTTCAATTTCACAAGCATACCATGTGATATACATTAAAATACATTGTGCACCTAGGATTCCACCTAATCATCCTCATACTCATCCACAGTTTCACACCAAATCACACTTCACAGTCGAACTACATTTACAATGTGTTACAAAAGCATGAGTAGTCAATTACTTGTAGGCTTTTTATAGCATATCCCCTAGAATACCACTGCTCAGACCTATGATGCAACACACCACATCAATGAAACCCATAGTTCACCCTTCATTGACATGCGTCCATCTAACAGGCACACCACAATTATCAGGTGCTTCACAAGCTAGTTCAAATACTTTTCAAAATCAAGTTCTACTCCACCTTCATTCATCACCGCTGCATAACTGCTAACTATCTATGACCACAAACCGAGAAAGTAGTAAACAGTTCTTGAAAAATGAGAATTCACAGCTGAAAGTTTGTCATTCAATTTATACACGTTAAGGTTATCTATCAAACAACACTGTATGCAAGCGAATATTTATAAACTTATCTCCTCACCGTTTCAATAGACAAAGCTTCAGCACGAAGTTTGGCTTCTTCTACAGCAGCTTGACTCGAAATACGGTTCGCCTCAGCTCGACTCTCTGCTTCTGCTTCGCTTGGCTACTGCTTTCGATGGCAGCTAGTTGCACACGAACTTCAAGCAATTTGCGTCGAGATTCTTCAGCAGCCGTCTCATCTTCAATCCTCTGCCTTTCCAATCGACCTTTCGATTCTTGTTCAATTCTTTCGGCTTCATGACTGCAATGCAATATCATCACATACATACATACATACATACAATATTAACTGATGCTGATAATGTTTCCATGGTTGGTGACCCAGTGGACACCAACGCTGACGGTAAACATAAGATATAAATTGAATGCTCACTAGAATTCTAGATTCCATTTCGACTGACATCATCAATAACTGCCCACTGTACGCAATACAACATTCCTCCTACACCAACCCACAAACAAACAACACGACATCCAGTAGCTGAACAAAACATGTGCGGATACAGGTTTGTTCCAGCTCAAAAGCACATGTTCCCACCATGACAATAGTACCCGGTTGGCATACACATTTACACGCCACAACCTGTTATGTCTTTCGAACTACCTTGCCATGCAGGCATTGTAGATTTGGAAACTGGTTACTCAAAGCATTTGGCATGAGAACACAATCACCAACGCCAACTCACTTCAATAGATAATCACACAACCGGGAAGGCAGTTTGTCATTCTGAACCTCAGCTTTCACTAAATCTCAATTCTATTTGTGCTCTTCTCACGCAACAAACTAAGTATGCTACTCTATAGTAATTTATTCTGTACTACACACGGTCTCCTTGTAGCTGAAACAAAGCCATTACGAGAGAGTAGAGAAGATTCGCAGTTGAAAACTGTTTGATGTTCTCCGAGCTTTAAGCTTTGCTCCTGGACATTTCAGCACCAGACTAGTCAGCTGCATCAGTCTTTACCTTTTATGGAAGCACGGATGCAGTAAATGCTGAGGAGGTCAACTGGTCACCTGGTGGTGAAACCTCAAAGAACAAACAGCAAAGCTCGGGGAATACCAAACAATTATCAAAACCCATCACGTAATATGAATCTCCTACACACAATCCAACTTCTTTCCCTGGCTTTCATGAGACCTTCTAGACTAATTTTCATCAATATGCAAAGTAGGCAGGACTTCCTTACCGAGCAGCTGCTTCTTGAGAATTCGTCGTTATCTCAATGGCGAGTTGAACTGATTTCTGCAATGAATCTCGAGTTCGTTGGTCTACTGGCTCTACAGACTGGACATCAACACTTGTAATATGCAGGTTGTTTTGTGGGAAAACAAATCGATCTCGAATCTTTCCCGCTTCATCCAATCCAAAAACGGATGCACGAATTATCCGTGACGAATTCTGAAATCATAATACATAATACAGGTGGTATAATAGTGTCAACGTGAAGCAATCACAAATCAAATTCGACAATAACTTATTTTCTTCAGTTTCAAACCTTCTATATGAACGTACTCCGTTAGCATTCTGTACTAGATTCCATAAACAAACAAACTAAGCAATTAAAATTCCATTAATAAGGCCGCTCAGACTTAGCAATGTTTTGGCGTCATCATGGTGCACTATATATATATATATATATATATATATATATATATATATATATATATATATATATATATATATATATATATATATATATATATATATATATATATATCACAACCTTGCTCTGTTACCAGTCAAAGTGGTCAAATTTACAGTCTCATCGATGGGACTACCTTGTCATTCATGTGTAACAAAATATGCCTTACAAATAGACTGATAACAATGTTAACCAAAGTGGGATTGAGTGGGATTGAGAAGAAGACTAAACGTGGCCAGGTAAAGACGTGACACTAGTTTACAGTATCTAACTGCTGGTCTCAGTCGTGTAGGGAAGTGTACACTACCTGGTTGAGGCCTCCCAGATAAGAGGAATCAACGGTTGGAGATTTTCAATAAAATGCATCAAAATCGAACATGAACTCATCGATGACACAAGAAATAATTTGAAGGAAATCACTTCCTTCCAAATACCGTGGGCCGCACTAACAGATAAGTAATGCTAACCAAATGGAAGATATCAACCACACAACTATCTCAGGTGAACGCACAGTTAAGGTGTTCCATTTCATCTTCATTCTGTCATATGACAACCACATCAGTAATACAAAGGTTAGGCGTGGGATTCTAAGAGAAGGTGGAAAGGTAGCCAGTGAAATTGTGAACTTCACTCGAACGTGTTACACACATCTAGTCAGAATACAACCTGACGCATAATGCTATCTCAGCTCGCATTTAACTGGTCAGACTAAAACGTGGTATCAGTGGGTGAAGACTGACTAATGGTTTGAACTGTGCACCACCAGCACCTATCTAACTGTAAAACATCATACAGATAGAACCACAATATTTACCTCGATGAAATATTTCTGCTTAGAAGTGACCCTCTACATATCTACGTATCCAAACAATCGCTGCCTCACCATTTTCATTTGTTACTTTCTCATACCCCTGTTTTGGCATTTCAGTCAAACAACAAATTCCAAACACAATCAGGACACCATCACCTTCTGAGCACAAATTCATCTCACCATGACCAACATAATACACATACATCACATCACTATACATACATCGCTCTGCAACACGAACAAAAGTTGTTCCAAGCTAACACTTCACAGTCCAACATGATTACCTGAATAGTGTGTAAGAAACATTACACCTCATCACTGCAACACATACATTATGAGTATGATACACAATCACAGTAAGTAGCAGCAACTTTTTTATCCTGTGCATGAACAGTGGGAAATAGACTAAACCAGCTTGCTTATCCTGTATCACATTCCAAAGGCGGTCACCTTCATCGTTCTTATACCACGCTTTCCACTAGACCTGTCATTATTCCTCAACCAACGGATTACAACGACCTTCTTCATGCACAATTCTGTGTTCAGTAGAAAGTAAACCAATTAAGAAGTAGCCATTTCACAATAATCTGAAATCTGATTACAACCTTCACCGGGACGCAACATGCATCCTCGGTTAAAATAATCCACAAATAAAGTTAAACCATAGAATTCACATCATAACTACCTGGTCAATAAAATATACACGTTACCTTATGAAAATCATCAAAGTGAACAGATGCAACAGTCCCACGAACACGAGAAGCAATAGCTTTACACGCATCACCAATGAAATCTGGTACTGAGAATAATTTAGCAGCATCTGCCTCACTGCACAATGAAGACACATCAAACATCCAGTTGTATGACAGTTGTAAAGACAAGCGAGCATGATCCGCCGTCTCAACAATCACAACATCTGTACAGAAATCTGGGCCTAACAATAAACAAAGACTTTTAATCACGTTCGGTTTCTTCGGTTTCCCACCACTCAAACTCAGACGAGTAAACTGTTCATCTGGATCTAACATAACTAAATTTGGTCCAAACTCAACTCTCGCCCTTTTATTCTTGTAATTGTAGACTTGGGCCGCAGCATTGTGTGGAACACGGAAAGTAACTACACGAGTTGGATCAAGACATTCACATGAGTCCTGCATGGACCGAACTCCACGATCCGCAAATGGGTCCATATTTCTTTCCAACAACTGGACAACCTCAGTCGGAAGTTTCTTTTCCCACAACTCCTCATCTTGGTTCAACATGTAGGCTTGACCAATAACAGCTCGAACCTGTCCTGTCTGTGTATTACGAACATAGATACCCTCATTGCAATCAAGAGGAATGATATTTCGACGAGTTACCACCTCCACCTCAACAGGAGGTACATACTCAATAGGTCCACGTAACATCCATCGATCACCAGCACGACGAATCTAACATAATTCAAAGAGGAGATTACAAATGGACATATTTAAAGAAAAAGCTTTTGAAAAGAGAATGACTATATCAATGACAACTACAAACTACAAAAAACACTGCACAAAAGTCTCCTCAAAGATGACAACTGTTATGCAATGAAAGCCAAAAGTAGGACATTCAGTGCCTGGCTAACGGTGATTCCAACAATCCACCCATTCAATCAAACAATGCATTAGGCGAACGTCAAGGACTATCACCTCCCAACTTCTTATACGTATTATGCGATCAAAAAACCACCTGACACACAGTTCTATACTTCCAGATAACCTGATTATAAATGGAAATTATGCTTCTCACAGATCGGTGGTATGTTTATA